GCCACCAGAAGCGGAGGATATCGAAGTTATTCGGAAGGTGGTCGAATGCTGCATGGAAGGAATAGACGTCAAGGTCGAGATATGCCGGAAGGGCACGTCGAAACCGGTGACGAACGAGCCGAAGGCAGCAGCAAGACAACCGAAACCGCAGAAGTTGAAGCCACCGACAGATAGGCCCGACGTCGGGGTGGTCATGGTGAAACCGAAGAAAGAGCACGATTACGCCGAAGCTCTCAAGAGCCTCAAGGCGAATGTGCAAGTAGGAGGGGATGGTGTAGAGCTAGAGAAGATCTCGATCACCAAGTCGGGAGAAACTCGAATCCAGGTTAGGGAGACTCGTGAAGGAGGTCGAAAGAACTTCGCCGAGAAGCTGTCCCAGAAAGCAGAAGCCCTGCAGGCGGAAGTGAAAGCCGTGTCGGCCCAGGTCCCCATAGCGATCAGGGGCATTGACGATACCGTGGACAAAGATGAGGTAGAAGAGGCCCTCGTGAAAGCAGGAGTCCCCAAGGAAGAAGTCGAGAACAAGGTGAACCTCGGAGAAGTACAGGCAGGACGCGCTGGAACTCGAACGGCGGTGATGCGAGTCTCACCGTCTCGAGCCTTCATGCTCTTGCAGCTCCAGGAGCTCCGAGTTGGGTGGTCGGGGTGCAGGTGTCGCATCACGCAGTTCGAACAGCCCCAATGCTGCTTCAATTGCCAGAAATTCGGGCACCTGGCCCACGAGTGCAAGGAGGGAAAGGCTGAAGGCAGGAGATGCTACCGATGCGGGAAGGAAGACCACATCGCAAAGGACTGCGAAGCGTCCCCGAGCTGCTACGTGTGCGGGAAAAATGGGCACCGAGCTGACTCCCGCTCGTGCCCAGCGCAGCGTGAGCAGGCGGCGAAAGCCCAAGGGGAAGGTTATGGACGCCACGGAGGCTGCGAAGCCAAAGAAGCCGCGGAAGCGCCGAGGCAACAAAGGCAAGGAAGTCGCCGAGTTCGAGTCGGAGGGGCAGCCGGCGGTCTGCCCGGGCGCTTCGGAAGAGACCATAGCAGGAGGAGACGGCAGGTCTCGAGAAGAGCCGATGGAAACCGAACGGGAAGGAACACCACCAGCGGGGAAGTCGCAAGTAGGAAGCGAGCGGGACAGAGTACCTCCAGCGGGAAAATCCCTAGTAGGAACCGAAAACGACAGAGTACCAGCCGTGGGACAATCTCAAGTAGGATCGTCGCGAGCGGAACGAGAAGGAGCCGAAGGGGACAGAGTACCGACCTCGGGAAATTCCAGAGTAGGCCTAGGTCGAGGACGGAAGACGGGAGAGGTCGCCAGCACGAGCGCAGCAAGCCAGGGGCAGAAAACTTCAGAGATCAACGATGATCAGGAGCATCCAATGCAACACTAACAGGTGTCGAGACGCCCACCTCCTGCTCGACAACACGCTAGTGCTGTCGGATTACGACATCGCTCTTATAAGCGAGCCGAACCGGGCAGCGGTTCAGCAAGCGAGCTGGGAGGTGGATCTCGAGGGGGATGCAGCGATATGGATGTCAAGAAGACTGCAAGGAATGGCTGTGTCGAGGGGAAGAGGAAGCGGATACGTCTGGGTCGATATCGGGGTGGCTGTGGTCTACAGCTGCTATGTGTCACCCAACACCACTGACGAGCAGTTCATTGGTTTCGTAGATAGCTTAGAAGAGAGCGCGAGGGCATGGAGCCCACGGAGACTGCTAGTGGTCACCGGGGACTTCAACTCCGCAGCGGTGGAATGGGGCAGCAGCACCACGAATCGAAGAGGCGAGTTGATACTGGAGATGACCAGCCGACTGGACCTCCTGGTGGCGAACGACGGGATAGTGCCAACATTCCAGCGGAGGGAGCAGAGGTCCTACCTGGACCTCACGCTCTACTCTGGCAACGTGAACGGGGGCATCGAAGGCTGGAGAGTGCTCGAGGAGGAAACGGGCAGCGATCATCGCTACCTCGAGTTCCAGATCCGGGGAGAAAGGCAGCAGCAGCGAGGTGCAGAGGAAGGGGAGGCACCGACGACATCGTGGAGATGGAACCCGCGACGACTGGACCTCGAAGTCGTTAAGGGAACCATACTTGAAGAGGGTGAGCAAGGGACACCGACGGAAACGGCGGAGCAGATAGCAGCCGCCCTCGGCCGGGCCTGCGAGAAGGCTGCGCGTGGAGGACTCCCGGGGGGCCAACGCAGGCTGAGGCCGAAGTATTGGTGGACAGCAGAAATCGCCGAAGCGAGGAAGGAGTGCGTGAGGCTGCACAGAAGACACTTCAGGAGTACACTGAGGAGCGCAGCGCAGCCGGATGAGATACGCGAGGCACTGGAGAGCTACAAGGCGGCGAAGAAGATGATGCGCCGACTAATCCAGCAGAGCCGAGAGCGATGTTGGAAGGAGCTATGTGAGGAAGTGGAACGAGACGCGTTCGGCAAGCCATACAAGATCGTGATGAAGAAGATTGGAGCAGCGACTCCGAGGCTTCACGCGAGCTTGGTCGACCGAATCATCGAGCGACTGTTCCCCGCGCGACCGGCGCAGCAATGGAGATTCGGGGAGGACGAGGACTTCAACTTCGACGAAGTGACGGCGGAGGAGGTCCTGACAGCGGCGGAGAAGATCAGCATCGGAAAGGCCCCGGGAGTCGATGGCGTACCCCCGGAGGTGACCAAGATGTTCATGAAGTTGAGACCGGCGGACTTTGCAGCCATGACCAACCAGCTGCTCAGGGAAGGGCGATTCCCAAGTGAGTGGAAAGTTGCGAGACTTGTCCTGCTCCCTAAGCCAGGCAAGCCGAGGGACGACCCGTCGTCCTACCGGCCGCTGTGTCTCTTGGACACAGAAGGCAAGGCGGTGGAAACACTCCTGGCAGGGAGACTCACGACGGAACTCGAGCAAAGGAGCGCCATCGCCGACACCCAGTTCGGGTTTCGAGCGGGAAGATCGACGATCGATGCGATCCAGGAAGTTGTTCGAGCGGCAGAGGAAGAGCGAAGCGCGGAGAAGACATGGAGGACGAGGAAGCTCTGCCTGGTGATCCTGGTCGATGTGAGGAATGCCTTCAACTCGATGCCGTGGGAGGTGGTGATGGAGGCGCTGAGGAGCGCCGAGATCTCACCGTACCTTCGGCGGGTCATCGGCAGCTACTTGGAAGACCGATGGATCGTGACAACAGAGGGGGCAAGACACAGGATGACGGCCGGAGTGCCGCAGGGCTCCATCCTAGGACCGACCCTGTGGAACGTGGCCTACGACGGAGTACTGCGGCTGGATCTGCCGGAAGGCGCGAGCACCGTCGCCTATGCGGATGATTTAGCAATCATCGTGAAGGCTCGGACGGAGGACGAGCTCGTGTCGAAGGCGAATGGAGCGATGGAAGCGGTAGCGAACTGGATGGACTCGAAACATCTGGCGCTCGCACCGGAGAAGACGGAGGCGATCCTTCTCATCGGCAGGCGGAGGTGTGGACCACTGGAGGGGCTCAACCTCAGGGGACACGCGGTGGAGCCGAGGAGGGAGGTCAAGTACCTGGGAGTGTGGCTGGACCGAGGGCTAACGTTCGCCCCACATATCCAGCACGCGTTGACGAAAGCGAAGAAGTCGGTGAAGGCGCTCAGCCGAATCCTCCCCCGGACCCGGGGAGCGGGAGAGGGGAGGAGACGGCTACTGGCGACGGTGGCAACATCCATCGCCACATACGGAGCGCCGGTCTGGGAGAAGGCTCTACGGAAGGAGAGAAACGTCAGGCGCCTCGCCAGCGTCCAAAGGCAGATGGCGCTCCGGATCTGCAGGGCCTATCGAACCGCAGGATTGAGCGCAGTGCTTGCGCTCTCCCGCCAGGTTCCGTGGCACCTTGTGGTCACCGAGAGAAAACTTCGGCACGAAGACCGGCGCGAGCCGGATCCCGAGCGACGAAGGACGAAGAAGCAACGATGGGAGGAGACGCTGAGCAAGTGGCAGGAAGAGTGGACGGAAGACACCGGAGAAAGCGAGTGGACGAAGAAGCTGGTGCCCGACCTGCGGGAGTGGCAGACCCGTAGGCACGGCCAGACTTCGTACCATCTCACGCAGGCGCTAACGGGACACGGTTGCTTCCAGGAGTACCTGTACCGCTTCAGGAAGACCGACAGCCCCGAGTGCTTATTATGCTTATCGGGATCTGTGGATGGAGTCCGCCATACGCTGATGGAGTGTGAATTCTTCGACCGCGAGAGGGAAGAGTTCCGGGATGCTCTCGACTGGGGCTTCAAACTCGAAGGGATGGTGGAAAAGATGCTCGAAGGCAGCGAAGAGTGGAACGCAGTGGACGACTATGTTTCGAGAGTAATCGGCACGAAGGAGGCTCTGGAGAGAGTCCGGAAGAGAGCGACCGAAGAGTCAGAGCGGGAAGAGATGGCTCCGGCTCAGGGAGACGGAGTAGCGCCCGAGCCCGGATGGCGCGAGGGGTCGACCGGGGGGATGACAACCCCCGATCGAGATGAAGCGGGAGATGTCACTCTGAATACGCAGCGGAGCGCCAACATGGATAGGTAGGGATAATTAGGCAGGTCGGGGGCCCCCTGAAGCGAATATCTTAGCTGATGGCCGGGGGGCCCTACCGGCCCCGTTCTCGTTCAATAGGCTGTACGGTCCCATCGGCCTCCGGGGCAGGACCTATGTAGGTTTGTAAGCCTAGATAGGTTGTATCGGCTATATGAATAAAGGAAGGGCTCGGCCACGACCCGATCAGAAAAAAAAAAAAAAAAAAAAAAAAAAAGTAAAAAGGTTAGGTTAGGTTAGGTTAGGTTAGGTTAGGTTAGGTTAGGTTAGGTTAGGTTAGGTTAGGTTAGGTTAGGTTAGGTTAGGTTAGGTTAGGTTAGGTTAGGTTAGGTTAGGTTAGGTTAGGTTAGGTTAGGTTAGGTTAGGTTAGGTTAGGTTAGGTTAGGTTAGGTTAGGTTAGGTTAGGTTAGGTTAGGTTAGGTTAGTCCGCGACCAACTGCCAAAGGGTTCGCACGCGTTTGCGTGAGCTCCCTTAGTTTTGGACCTAGAGTGATCTAGTGAGTGCTGTGAGGTGCGCCGTTGAAAAACAACAATCTCGAACCGCGGACGGGCGAGATTGGGCCACCTGGACCGAAGTTACGGATTTTAAGGTGAAAAGTCGAACTTTTGAAACCGTGCTCCTGGATCTACTTCGGGGAATTGTTGTGCAAATTGGGCTGACCAATCCACGATAATCCGAGTGTTTCCCGGTAGAGGACGACGATACGAAGCGACCGAGACCAAGCACGTGAGATTTTTCCCAGCCGTTCCGGCGGAATAATTGCTCAAAGTTCGCAGGAAAATCGGTTCGGCTAAGGCAGGTTCCGTTCGGGCTGAGAGGTAGAGTTCGACCAATCTTTGGCGAATTATTGCGGGAATTGGGCTGACCCAAACGCACCAATCCTCACGGATCCTGAGAGAAGGGGGACAGACGCATCGGACGAGGTCGGAGTCGAAAGATTTTTCCCACCCATCGAGGGGGAAATAAATTTCGAACTTTGGTGAACGACGTCCTTGTTTTCTTGCGATTTCAGCCCCTTCCGTTGCCCAAACCACCCCCACACCCCCTTTCTATCATCCCCCAATTTTTCTCTCCCATTTGCACCACCCCCCACCCCCGCCCACCAACCCCTGCCGGAATTGGAGCTTTCTTCGAAAAAATCCACCCGGCGGTCTCTAACCCCCTTATCCTTCCCCCAACCCATCCCCCACAGTACCTCCCCTTACCCTCCTTTTTTCCCCCTACTCCCCCAAGCACTTCCCCATCCCCGCCCATCAACCCCCGCAGAGATAGGAGCTTTCTTCGGAAAATTCCCCTCCGCGGTCCGTAACTCCCCTCCCATTCACCCAAATTCCCCCCCATAATACCCTCCCGTAATCCTCATTTCCTCCCCTTTCCATCAAGGCCACCCCCAATCCCCGCCCATCAACCCCCGAAGAGATAGGAGTTTTCTTCGGGAAAATCCCCTCTGCGGTCCTTAGCTCCCTTCCTATTAATCCAAACCATCCCCAAGGTACTTTTTCGTAACCCCCATCTCCCCCTCTAACTCCCCATACTTTCTCCCACCCTCCCCAAAACCCCCATTACCCCCCAAAAATTAATTTTCACTCCCCTCTCCACTGGTGCATTTTTCCCCATCCCCCCCCAAATTTTCCAGCCCCTCTCCCCGGTGTAAGCAACTTCAGAAGGCGGCGGAGCGGTGAGTGACGAACGATGTCGGGAGCCGAAGGGCCGCCCGACCCCTTTGCGAGAGGTGGACTTCGACACAGCCCGAAGACGGCGAAGGAATCGCCGGAGAGGCCGGAAGAAGAGGTCGAATACCCTGCCGAGAGGGTAGACTTGAAGATGAAGATGCAGCAGATGCGAGAGGACCGCGCCAAGAAGCCGGAAGACCCCGCATCCACGAGAGACGGCGCACCCGCTGAAGACGACAGGCACCTGCCGCGCTCATCAACGCCGCTCCCGGAAGGCGACGCTGAAGCTGCTGAACCGGCCTCGAGCATGGACGTAAGCAGCAACGCGGGACCGAGCCAGACAATGACCGGCAAGAAGAGGAAGAGAGCTCGACGAGAGGCTCTGGAGCGCAGTTCGCTGGAGGAGGACCACTCCCGCTGTGACGTCCCCGTCACCGAAGACGGAAGAGCCACAGCGGTACCGGACCTCTATGAGGACATGCACCGAGTGCTCAAGTCAGCGAGGAAGCACCTGGAAGAGGTCCAAGCTTGCTATAGGCTGAAGGAGACGATAGTGCTGGGAGCGAAGAACCTGGTATTCCAAGTGGGCGGCTTCTGCCGAAAGGCCGACGAACTCCGGAAGAGGAGGGAAAAAGACCCGATGTCTGCACTCAGACCAGCGAGGGAGGGACCACCATGCCGAAGCACAAGTCGGAGGCTGGAACCCAGACAACCGAAGAGCGGAAGGAGACCTCGGAAGCAGGCACCCAGGCGTCCGACGGCGACATCACAAGCAGTCAGAAGAAGCAGGGAGAGAAAGCGGAAGCTGAGAAGGAGGCCGAGAGGATACGAGGACTCGTCCGCGAGTCAGCGGGAAGCCCAGAGAGGCTAGCGTCGATTATCGCCATGGAGTGGCCGAAACCAATATTCACGGCGACGAGCACAACTAACAGCAGCATCCAAGCAACGAGAGAGACACGAGTGATCCTCTTCCGTGAGGGCAACGAGGGGGACATCGAGAAGCTTCAGTTCCTGGAGAGACAGTTCCCTGGAGCGGACACGAAGGAGATTGCTGAGAGGATGAAGATCGGTCGCACCGCGAGGCTCGAGATTGCGAGCAAGATCAGTCTGGAAGCGGACGAGGTGGATGATGTGAGGAAGCCAGCGAACCGGACACTCATGCTAGGGAAGCTCAGTCCCCGCCCGAAGGAAGGCCCAGCTGACTACCGGGAATTGGTTACCATGATGCAGAAGATGGAACGGGAGATGCGGAAATTGGAGCGGACGGAGTTTATGCTGCAGTTTTCAGAGGCGGACGAGCCGAGCATAATCCGGCGGACAACGGAGGCCTGCATCCTCGACAGGGGCATCAAGGTCGAGATCTGCATGAAGGGACGGTCAAGGAGGAAGGAAGAGCCGGGTGACGTGGTTGAGCCGAAACCCGAGCAGAAGAAGAAAGGGAAGAAGAAGAGGAAGGAAGCCGAAGAGGATATCGGGGTCATCGTCGTTAACCCTCAAGAGGGCAAGACGTTCGCTGATGTCGCCAAGATCCTCAAGTCCCAAGTCTCACCGGAAGAAGAGGGAATTACGATTCAACAGATCACGAAGTCGAGAGATGGAGGAGTTGTACTCAAGGTCAGAGAGGCAACAAAGGGAGCTGCCGCGGCGTTCTCGGAGCATCTTAAGACGAAGGAAATCGGAGCGGATGTTCGAAAGGTGTCTCGAGAGGCCACCATCGCCATCAGAGGACTCGATGCAACCATCGAGGTCACCGAGGTCATGGAAGCACTCGCCGAGGCCGGCGTCCCCGGGAAGGAGCTCGCTGGCATCTCACTGGGGGAACTTCGAGATGGGTGGACAGGTAGAAGAACGGCCATTGTTCGACTGCCGAGAGGACCTGCGCAAGACCTTCTCAAGCGAGGGAAGCTGATCGTCGGATGGGCGAAATGCCAGGCGAGGGTGACTGAGTACGAGCAGGGCACCTGCTGCTACAGGTGTCAACAGTTTGGTCACCTCTCATGGCAGTGCAAAGAGAAGGAAGCCGTTCAGCGGAAGTGCTATCGATGCGGCTCGGCAGAGCACATAGCGAAGGACTGCGCGTCGGCACCGAAGTGCTACGGGTGCGGGCAAGAGGGACATCGGGCCGACTCGGTACGCTGCCCGAAGTGGAAGGAGCAGGCGACCTCAACCGGCACGACTCAACCCGGAGGCCCGGCAACCCAGAAGCGAAGAAGAAGGAAGAACCAGGAGATCCATGGTCCCTTCGAAGACGAGGGAGCTCCATTGGCTGCCGGAGAACAAGAAGCAGACCAGGTCCAAGGAGAAGAGGAAGCGATGGAAGACGAAGACATCGAGGGGCAGAAAACCGACGGTCAAGATGATCAGCTTCATCCAGATAAATCTTAATCGCAGTCGCCCCGCCCACGACCTCCTGGAGCAGATGCTGGAGAGGGACCGGTACGACGTGGCTCTGATTGCGGAACCCAACCCTTCCCGTATCCGAGGCATGGGCTGGGAGGTCGACGAGGGCAAGGACGCAGCCGTCTGGCTGTCAAAGAAGAGAAGGGGCGAGGTCAAGCAGAAAGGAAGAGGAAGTGGTTATGTTTGGGTTGACATTGGTACTGCGGTCATCTACAGCTGCTACATTTCCCCAAACATTCCACAGGCAGAGTATGAAGGAACACTTGAGGAGCTGGAGGAGAGTCTCGGGGCGTGGGGCCGGAATAGGCTTGTGATACTGGCTGGCGACTTCAACGCCGCAGGAGTGGATTGGGGGAGCCCCCGTGGGAACGCGAGAGGCGATGCGCTGATCGAGCTGTCGAGCAGGAGGAACCTCACGCTGGCAAACGACGGGAGAGAGCCCACCTTCCGACGGACGGGTCAGGAGTCCTTCCTGGACCTGACTTGGTATTCGGGAGATTCGACCAACGGACTGGACGATTGGAAGGTCCTTGATGAAGAAACGCTCAGTGACCACAGGTACGTGGCGTTCAGGGCAGCGACCGGAAGCTTGGCAGAGACCCCAGCGGGCAGCCCTTCTAGCAGATGGAGATGGAACCCACGCAAGCTCGACCTCAGCATCGCCAAGGCGTACATCCGAGATGAATGCGGACAGGCGGTTGATACTCCCGAGCAACTAGTCACCATGCTTGAAAAAGCGTGCGACAAGGCTGCGAGGGGCGGCCCGCCTCGGGGACTGAAGAAGAGGACCAAGTACTGGTGGACCGCAGAGATCGAAGCGACGAGGAGGACGTGCATCAGGTGGCACAGGATGAGCTACCGGCGACGCGGACATCCCGAGGAGGCAGAGGCAGCCCAGACGCAGTACAAGGCAGCGAAGA